GGAGACTTCTCCCTGTACTATATGTCAGAGGAAGGGGGGGGCGGCTGCGGCTATGGGAAAGCGGGTGGAACATGTAACATGTTCCCAAAGGTGAACTTATCCTTTAAGTGCTTCAGTCTCTATAAGCCTCTTCAGCATTTAGCATTTCTAGAAATGTTGGGTGCCTATGTTTCCAGCTTCCTGAGGCTCCATCTTCCATTCCTATGATGTAGGGGTGGGAGGAAAAAATTACAATACCCAATGGTGGACACAGACATCTAAGGATAAGCATACGTGTGGTTGACATGGTCATAATTACATAGTTAGTCTGGCTGAAAAAAGACAAAAGTCCATCCAGTTCAACCATTAACAAAAAAAAAAAGTTATAATCCTACACCCACAGTTGATCCAGAGGAAGGCAAAAAAAACCCAGCAAAGCATAATTCAATTTGCTCATACAGGGAAAAAAAATCTTTCCTGATCCCCTGAGAGGCAATCGGATATTCCCTGGATCAATTTACCTATAAATGTTAGTATCCAGTTATATTCTGTGTATCTAAGAAACAATCCAGGCCTTTTTTAAAGCAATCCACTGAGCTGGCCAGAACCAACTCTTGAGGGAGTCTATTCCACATTTTCACAGCTCTCACTGTAAAGAAACCTTTCCGTGCTTTGGAGATTAAATCTCTTTTTAAATCTCTGCAGATGTAAAGAGTGCCCCCTTGTCCTCTGTGATGACCTCAGGGTGAATAGCTCTACATCGAGTTCACTATATGAACCACTGATGTATTTATACATGTTGATCATATCCCCCCTTAATCTCCTCTTCTCAAGAGAGAATAAATTCAGTTCCTCTAATCTTTCCTCATAGCCGAGCTCCTCCATGCCTCTTATCAGTTTGGTTGCCCTTCTCTGTACTTTCTCCAGTTCCCCAATGTTCTTTTTGTGAATTGGTGAAATTGGTCAAATGATTGAAAGAGACAAAAGGACATTGCGCAGAATTTTGATCCGGAATAAGAAAACAGCTGCTGCAAAAGTGACTGCAGAGCTCAATCTCAGTCTTCACTGTCAGTTGACCATGTTGACCGCACTTATGCTCATCAGACGTTTTCCCAACAATTGTATATGTCATCATAACCTTTGATAATGTACCTTGCGACACGGCATATAAATTGGAAACTTCAGTCACAGAGGCACCAGCAAACGGGCACCAACAATTTGCCCTCTTTGAAGCTCAGGAAGCTCTGACATGACTCCGTATTACTAGCAACGCATGCATTGAATGACGAAAGTGAGACTTCCCACCTGTTAGCTAGGTGTCTCATCACACAGCAGAAGCAAAAGAATATTACATCACTTCTGCTTTCAATGGAAACCATGTGGTCACTTTCACACCTGCAAATCATGTAGTGTTTCCATTTTTTTGTCTAACCCTTGTATGTGTGCACGGACATATAGGCTTTTCCTGAGGTGCATTCAGGGGTTTAGGCAAAAAAAGCCCCAAAAACATCAGCTTAGGAGCAGAAGTGTGCATGAGTCCTAACGCAGACTCCTAACACTCCCATATGTGTTGAAGAGTCCTAAAATATAACTAATAAAACTATTTTTTTTTTTTAGTCTTGAATAGAGTGGAGAGAGATTAGAACACCTGTGAGTTTTTATTGCTGTCTGTGTCCCCTTTACGGAGATTCGCCCTCTCTGTATGTCCTGTTTACCATTATTATGGAAAGTAAAAGAATATCATTAAATTTCGGATGTGCCCAGAACACAGCAGGGAAATCTTTCAAGGGAGGCATTAGTTCTGATGACCCAAAATTCCCAAACTTTGGAGGGATTTCCGCTCACTTCCTGTTTTGGCTATGGGGCAGAATGTGGAGAGAAATCTCCACAATGGGACTCAGGTGGTAAAAAATAAGCCCTACAGGTTATAGCCCTCCCTTATGCTATCCAAAATGCTGAAAAAAAGTTTTGCCTTTAGTTGTCATTTAAGGGGGCTGTAGCACTGTAGTGGAGGAACTGTAGGGAGCACTGGCCACCGGTGAGGTGAGTATAAGGCTGGCCATACACTATACAATTTTCTTACAGATTTCTGCCCAATTTCTTAGATTTACCCTCCACTATGTAGTGCAAGGGCCTGCCTAATTAGATACAATTGAAAGTGTTGTTTAGGTTTGACCTCCTATTATATGGTTTTTGGTAAATCTAAAGAAAATTCTCAGGAAAATTGTATAGTGTATGGCCAACCTTACAATTCTTCTGCTGCAGGGGAGTGATGATTTTATATCTTTGGACACTTGGAAGAGTCACTTTACTGCAGTCAAGAGAAAAGTATGAGGGCTGCCTCTTCTAAGCTCTTCTTTGAGAATGCTGGTTCCCAGGCTGTCATGCTGATGCTCTGGCTTCAATGCAAGTACAAATATAAGGAATTCTGGCACTCAGTTACAGCAGGCTTGTTGGTGAAGCCAGACAAAGCCAGGCAAGTTGCATTTTAAAAAAAGAAGCCCAGAAATGGCAATTGCTGCACAAAAATGCAAAATGTTTTCTTTTTTTCAGCGTACACTAAGCGCTCATTTAGATGGGCGCTGAGACCCTTCCTTTGTGCTGAGACGCTTTTTACTATGTGTGCATTCACCTCTGAGCTGCGTGCAGGTATCCCACAGAAGTGGATGCAGACAACACCTGAACAGACACATTCGCATGTCAAAATCTGACATGCAGACAGGAACGGGTACATAGATGCAAACACACAGGGGTGGATCACCAAAGCTGGGGAGAGCAAAATCTGGTGCAGCTCTGCACAGCAGCCAATCAGCTTAGCTGCTTCCCAACCACCCTAAAGCAGAACTACTGCTACAGGGCGGTAGGGCTGCGCAAAATCACGTATATATAAGCAATGTTGTATTTCCGGGTAGGGGGGCGCGGGCACCCTACCTGCATTGCCAGTGGGGGCTACAGCTGGTTAATCACTGGGACCTGGCTGTAGATTCCCCAGCGATTGCCGTGGAAAACTGACGGGGGAGAGGTCTTTGTGTAAACAGTACAGATCTCTCCCCTGTCAGCGCTGACAACGCTGCTTTGTATTGCTCTGCAGAGCAATACAAAGCAGCGTGTGTAAACAGTAAACCACAGCACACAGTGAAACATCACACAGTTAACCCTTTGATCTCCCCAGATGTCAACCCCTTCCTGCCCAGTGTCATTAGCACATTGTCAGTGCCTTTTATTAGCACCGAGCACTGTATTAGTGTCATTGGGATGTCAGTGACAGTTCCCTCTCTGTGTCAGAATGCCTGCAGCAGTCCCGCTATAAGTCACTGATCGCCGCAATTACTAGCGTAAAAAAAATATTCCAGTATATATACCACCATTTGCAGACACTATAACTTTCATGAAAACCAATTAATTTACACATATTGGGCTTTGTTTTAGCAAAGACATGTCGCAGAATACATTTAGTTTTTTTCATAATTGTCTATTTTGTTTATAGCACAAAAAATTAAAAATGCCACAGCGATCAAATACCACCAAAAGAAAGCTCTATTTGTGGGGAAAAAAGGACATACATTTCATCTGGGTGCAGCACTGCATGACCGCACAATTGTCAGTTAAAGTGATGCTGCGCCGTAATGCAAAAAATAGCCTGGTCAGGAAGGGGGGTAAATCCTCTGGAGGGCAAGTGAACAAGCTGAAGTTAGAAGCTGATTGGCTGCCATGCAGAGCTGTACCAGATTGTGAGTGCTCCAGTTTTAGTACATCTCCTCCTATGTGGCCCCTTCAAGATGAATTCTGCTCACTGTATTAATGAAATGTGACATGTCTGATGTGTTGGATGTGTGTGTTTCAGGGAAGCACTCAGGGAGTGTCATCATAGCACACAAACACACACAATACACATTATAAACACACATCACACCAAACTTACCTCCTCCAGCTCTGCTTCCTGACTGTCATGTGACTATCACATGACATCCTCCTCCTGCCTGGCCGTGCTCGCCTCCTCCTGATCATGTGACTCCCCCTCCCTGCGAGCTGGAGGGCTCCCTCCTTCTGCTGATCACATGACCCCCTCCCCTCCTGTGCTGTTATGTCACACTGAGCATAGAGGAGAGCTCAGTGCATGTCATGGCTGCCAGCGCTGTGCACACAAACACACGGGCTCATTTACTAAAGGCAAATAGGCTGTGCACTGCAAGTGCAGTTACTGTATATCCGAGGGGGAGCTCTGAAATGAGGCAAAGTTCTTACATCCAATCACATGCAAGCAAAAATGCTTTTTATTTCTTTTCCTTGCATGTTCCCTTCATATCTAGTGCACAGCCTGTTCATCAACCCCAGAGTGTATTATGAATCCATATTATGTATTCCTATTTTGTGTGTAGGTGAATGAATGCCATGCGATGAAAAATAATGATGTGTAAATATGATACAATATTATGAGTTAAAATGTTTATATATACAGGTGTACCTCACTTTACAAATGCCTCAGGTAATGTAATTTTTGGTTTACAAATTAAAATCCATTGAAATTAATGTCTCGGTTTACAAATTTTGTAAGATTTCTTTTCGTAATATGAAGTGTATGTCAGTGCCAATTTTTAACCACTTGCTGACAGCGCACTTATACCCCTTTCCTGCCCAGGCCAATTTTCAGCTTTCATCTCTGTCACACTTTGAATGACAATTGCGCGGTCATGCAACACTACCCATATGACATTTTTATCATTTTTTTTAGAGAGATAGAGCTTTCTTTTGGTGGTACTTAATCACCTCTGGGATTTTTATTTTTTGCTAAACAAACCAAAAACAACTGAAAATGTTGAAAAAATAAAAAATGTTTTTTCTTAGTTTCTGTTATAAAATTTTGTAAATAAGTGAATTTTCTCCTTCATTGATGTGCACTAATGAGGCTGCACTGATGGGCACTGATAGGTGGCACTGATGAGGCACTGGTAGGTGGAACTGATCAGCATTGACAGGCATCACTGGGCACTAATAGATGGCACTGTCTGGCACTGTTAGGTGGCACCGATAGGCAGCATTGACGGGCACTGATGCGGACTGATAGGCGGCACTGATTTGCACTGATAGGTGGCACTGACTGGCACTGATAGGCGGCACTGACTGGAATTGATAGGTGGCACTGACTGGCACTGATAAGTGGCACTGAAAGGCAGCTCAGATGGGCACTGATATGTGGCATTGATGTGCACTGGTAGGCACTGATATGTGGCATAAATGTGGCACTGATGGGCACTGGCACTGGCCCTCAACATGGGAGGGTACTTTGGGGCAGGGGGGGGCTCCCCATCTGCCTTCTCCGGTGGTTTGACAGTTCTGAAATATGTAAGGGGTGGGGCCACCCGGGGACGTCACGCATGTGACCCCACCCCATGTGACATCACTTGAGTGATGTCCCCTGGTGGCCCCACCCCTTAAATGTTTAAGAACTGTCAAACCACCAGAGCAGGCAGACAGCCGGGAGCCATGTATTGGGATGCCTGCCTTTACACGCACGTGAACTTTAATGGCATACCATTACCATTAAATAATAATAATAGTCCGTAGGGTTCAATATTGAGTTGGCCCACCCTTTGCAGCTATAACAGCTTCAACTCTTCTGGGAAGGCTGTCCACAAGGTATAGGAGTGTGTCTATGGGAATGTTTGACCATTCTTCCAGAAACGCATTTGTAAGCTCAGGCACTGATGTCGGACAAGAAGGCCTTGCTCACAGTCTCCGCTCTAATTCATCCCAAAGGTGTTCTATCGGGTTGAGGTCAGGACTCTGTGCAGGCCAGTCAAGTTCCTCCACCCCAAACTGGCTCATCCATGTCTTTATGGACCTTGCTTTGTGCACTGGTGTGCAGTCATGTTGGAACAGGAAGGGGCCATCCCCAAACTGTTCCCACAAAGTTGGGAGCATGAAATTGTCCAAAATGTCTTTCACAAATGTTTGTAGAAGCAGTCTGAATGCCTAGGCACTTGATTGTATACACCTGTGGCTATGGAGGAGATTGGAACACCTGAATCCAGTGATTTGGAGGGCTGGCCCAATACTTTTGGCAATATAGTGTACATGTGTATATGTAGTTTCACAGTTTGGTTGTCCACTGGTTCAAACAAAAGACAAAAAAATGCATTAACCACTTGACGACTGAGCTATAGCCAAATGATGGCTAAAGCACGGTTGTCTAGTTCTGGGAGGGCATCATATGATGTCCTCCAGAACTACGCCTCCTGCACGCATCCGTCCATGTGAGCTCTCTGATCGCTGTGTCCATTGGACACAGCTGATCACATGACATGGTAAAGAGCCAATAACAGCACCTTTTTACCACGTGATCAGCTGTGTCCAATGACACAGCTGATCACAATGTAAATACAGTTGCTGGTTATCGACTGCACTTGTTCACACTGTCACAGGGTGAGGAAAGAGGAGAGCTGGTAATCAGCAACTGTATTTACATATCAGGACATCAGTGCAGCCCCAAGGGGACATCTGTGCAGTCCCAACAATGTCCATTAGTGCAGTCCAAGAAGTGTCCATCAGTGCAGTCCCAACAATGTTCATCAGTGTTGCCAGTCAGTACCCATCAGTGTCGCCAGTCATTGTCCATCGGTGCTACCATTCATTGTCCATCAATGCCTCCAGTCAATGTCCATCAGTGCCACCAGTCAGTGACCATCAGTGCCATCTATGAGTGACCTTCCGTGCCACCTATCAATGCCCATTAGTGCTGCCTATCAGTGGTCATCAGTGCTGCATATCAGTGCCCATTAGTGCTGCATATCAGTGCCCATCATTGCTGCATCATCAGCGTACATCAGTGTTTGCAAAATGTTATAACAGAAACTAAGGAAAAGATTTTTTTTTTTCAAAATTTTGGGTCTTTTTTTTGTTTTGTTTAGCAAACAATAAAAAACTCAGTGGTGATTAGCACAGGGCCAATCAGCACTGTCCAGACAGAAGACCAGGGGTTATGCAGCCTCATAGGACAGTCAGAGGAGAATAAAAACTCCTCCTACAAGCTTTAACTAGTGCACAGCTGGACACTGATAGAAGTCACAAGACTGCTATATACTGCTGATGAGAAAAGGTATTCAGCAGTTTATATTTACTTAAATAATTGCATTTCCATGTTGTGTGTACTGTGGGAGACCAGATACAGTGAATGCAGGGTCATGTTTTTAATAACCCTTTAACAACCTTTACTGTATAAAGCTAAAAAAAAGACCACAACTTTTAGAAAAAAAAGCTTCCCTTACCTTCTGTCATAAAACATACCAAACAAAAATGACAGGAAAATGCAAGCACCCTCAAAATGACCCTTATGAAATGTAGACACCCCAAGGCCATACATTTTTTTGGAAATGAAGAAACATGCTGCTATTGAGGGGGTTAAACTATGCTGCTTGGTAATTGTGCACTATCTACAGCAAAAGATTAATGTACAGGTCAAACACAGAGGGAGGGGGAGGTGAAGGGGTTAATGTACAGGTCAAAAACAGAGGGAGGGGGAGGTGAAGGGGTTAATGTACAGGTCAAACACAGAGGGAGGGGGAGGTGAAGGGGTTAATGTACAGGTCAAACACAGAGGGAGGGGGGAGGTGAAGGGGTTAATGTACAGGTCACACAGAACACAGAGGGAGGGGGAGGTGAAGGGGTTAATGTACAGGTCAAACACAGAGGGAAGGGGAGGTGAAGGGGTTAATGTACAGGTCTCATGCAGTGGGAGGATGGGGGTGGGTTGCAGGGTAAGGGACTTGAAGGGGTTACTATCCCAGTAAAATTAATGACCCCCCCCCCCCCCCTCACCTTGACTGTGCTGCCTTCCTTTATTCATTAAAATGGTATTAGACCCAAAAACAAGAATGTCGTTTAATGCAGCTTACTAATCCTTAGCCCTGGTTTACACTGAATCGTCATGCAATTTGATCATTTAAATCCGCATGACAAATCTCATGCAATGATCGACAATGGAACTGTTCTAATCAGTGCGACTGATTAGAAACTTAGTTCCTACACTAATTTTCCCGATTTGGGTGCGAATTGCATAGACAGCTGTGCATTAAGTCGCACAGATGTCTATGAAGTTGCACCCGAAGTCGCACTGCCATCCAACTTTGAAATTGAAGTCGCACGATTTTAAAGTTGGACCCAGTGTGAACAAGGGCTTTTGCAAACTGCTGCCTGAAAACACTCAGTTTTCAGGCCTACCATGTTTTTACTGATCTAAAATGCAGCCCATTGTTTTCACATGTGTGTAAACGCCTGAATTTTACATCCAGAAATACTGATGATCAAATGTCTGTACCATTTGCAAGAGGCCTTAATGTGGTGGCTGCATTAGTTTTCTTTTTTTAGGTTTATTTTCCTTTATTTTCACCTAGTGATCTGGCTGGCAACATATTTCCTGTCTTAGGGTGTCTCCACTCTGGGTAGAGAAGCAATGGAGACACAGCAGTATTTTCAATCTGTTGGGGGTGGGTAGTGTTAGATGCAAGGGCAAATTCAGATGGACTGAACTAACAAACTAAAGCTGAATTCCAGGTAACAACTTTTAAAGCAGAACTAAACCCCCCTCTCCTTTACAGCCAAGGGAGCTGCCTGTTTTTAGCCTCTGTTTGATGTGCAAAATATAAATAAAAAAAATAAAAATAAAAAAATATAAATAAAATATAAATATATAGTAAATAAAATTCTAACTTTTATTGGGGAGAAAGCCGTGACTTTTTGTGGGACACTGTTGCATTGCCTCGTGGATCGGTTTCGGTCGATATATATTATTGGCTTTTATTTTATATGTCATTAATTTATTTGAATTGTTTATTTTTTTTAATTATTATAAATACTTTTTTAATATGTGATCAGTAATGTTTTCAAAAAGGTTATAATACAGTAATGACACCAGCCATTTGAGAGCACAAGCAACTGTGACAGTTGTCAGTAATGGCATGCCTTGACTGTAACTGTTTTGGGAAGCAGTTAAAGCGGGAACTAAACACTGCTATACTTACCTTTGCATCAACAGTCTGATGCCTGTGATGTCCCCCGCCGGCATCTTCTCCCAGGATACCAGTCTTCAGCCATCTTGACTGTACATCTTAGGATAGCGTCACTCCTGCACATGCGCAGTTCTACAGTCATCCTGACACACTGGCACTGTGCTGGAATGTGAGGAAATATAGGGAATGCGCAACTCAGTGTACATTCTACAGAAGACCGTGAGAAGGTACAGTAGGTGCATTTTATTGCATGTTTCTTATGCAATAAGAAGCTTGCCTGCTTAGTTTATTAATATCAGAATTCAGTTGCACATTAAATCGATGGGTTTAGTACCATTTTGGGCAGTTACAGAACCAGTTTTACATAAACCAATAAAAGTTGATCATTTTAAATCATTTGTCTCAATACCCTAACTGCCACTTCTTGTTTGACAGCTTGGTCTGTTATCAGGACTGGTTCACACCTGTGCAGGTTGCAGTTGATGTATTCTCCCAATGCGTTTTGCTTTTTTTTTTTCACTTGCGTTTTTAATGATTTTTTATTTCGTTTTTGATGTGTTTGCATTTTTGGGAGGGTTCTGTTGTCTTGTGGAGAAACCAGCAAAAAAACAGCAGAAACTCATAAAAAAAAAAAGCAAGCACTGAGTTTTTCATGCGTTTCCATTGAAGTCTATGGAACCAAAAATGCAACCTGCTGCAGGAAAAAAGTACCTGACCCTTTCCAAAAAAAAGCACCAGTAGAAAATGCACAGATGTGAATGTGACCCATGGGAAACCATGATAAATGGACTGTAGTTCGTTTCTGCAAAACTGAAAAATGCATAGGTGTGAACCAGGCCTCAAGTAAGCTGAAAAATAACAGACTTACTGGCCAGATAACCAGGTGAACATAAAGGACAAAGACCTAAATAAAAGAAAACCAATACAGCCATCACATCTAAGAATTGATAAGCTGCAATATAATAACATTTTTGTTTTGAAGTTTAAACTGCTTTAAATGTGATTCCTTAATTCACAAATACTTCTTCCATTGTGAGAGGAAGGGGAGGGCTCTCAAGTATAAACACAAGAAGTGTTTTACATTTGTGATTGCTGTGATTGGCCAGTACAGCAATCGCAAGTCACGGAGCCACTCTGATTGACTTTGTGCATTTTGCCTGTGATCTGCGCTGTCTGATGTTTTGGCAAAACAAGATGTAAACAGAGAGCTGCTTTAACCAGTTGCCCGTCACCCTATAGCAGAAATACTGCTAAGAGCGGCAGGGCTGCGCAAACTCACATATATA